ACTTAATTGGCCTTAGGTCTTCAAAGTCTTTGTCTAGTTTTGCAGTGAAGAACACTAGTAAATAAACTAGTGCAAGATAATGGTTTGTGCCACTATGAATATGTGAAATGGAACAAACTAAATTACTAAGAGCAATTTTAAGCATAGCATAGCAAACTTTGTGTAACTGCATGCAGTTGGCCAGGAGACGATACTGAGATTATGTTGGCTGGTGACTAACAGTTGAGTATAATTTAATTCCCACTTTGTATTGTGTATATTGTCATAAACAATTCAATAATATATTGATTTCATATTATTGTTTGATAAGTTTATTTGATTGGGTTTTGGCTATAAAAATAATAAAGGACTATATTGTTTTGCTGGCAGGTTGTTGGATATGGGCTGCTGTATGAAAGAGCACAAGGTGTTTGATGACTGAATTCATTTTCCTTTATTAGATTTTTACTGATTTTATGAAATCCTGGTAGTTTGCCATTGTTTATTTTTTCTTAGTATTTCAATATCTATATTCATATTATTTTAGTGTATTTTTTGCACTTTCTTTTTTAATCTTTCTTTGTGTTTTATATTTGATTTGTACAAAATACTGGTCAATGACCAAAATAAAGGACTTGCTTTGCTTTGCTTTATCAAGGCATGGTTAAGAAAAAATAAAGAGTAATTTTGATGGAAATAGAGAATTGTTTTGGAAATGGATAAACAAGGAGCTTCCGCAGAATGAATGGCATTAAGAATAAACATGATGATTTGGGGAGAAGGGGGGTGAAACTGAAGCAAGAGAATACTAGAAAGGGTATTTTAAGTATAGGAGAGATACCAGTATGTCCAAGAGTACAAGTGAAATAAATGCTATCATGTTAGTGTCCATGAATAATTGATGAAAAGTCCTAAATCCTGTGAGAATCTGGAAAAACAATAAGAATGCAGATGTAAGTGGTGTAACTGGATAAATGTTCATGGATGTGGTTGCTTATAGAGTGGCAACTTGTAGGACATATATGAGAAGTCTGTGTCTGTGCCTATGGTTGGAAGAACACCACCACTGTTCCATTTTGCAAAGGGAAAGGTAATAGCAGTGTATGCAAAAACCATAGAAGGGATTAGTTTGTTAAATACACCTGGGGAAATGTTTGGCAGTGAACATTAGATTGATGCAGGAGTATCAGTCTGAAAAATAATCAAAAGACTAAGATAATTGTGTTTGACAGGAAAAGTGAATGACTGTAAATTATACATAAATGGCAAAAAGGAAGAGCAAGTAGATAAATATGTGTACTTCCAGTTGAATGTTTACTAATTATGGGAAATAGGTGAAGAGATTTGATGATATGCAAATTCTGGAAGCACAGTGGTGAATAGTATGTAGCTTGTTAAAAGGAATGCATCTTTGTCAAAAGATGTGAAAATAGCTGTGTGTAAGAGTGCAGTTCTGCCTGTTATATTATATGCAGGTGAGAGTTGGGGATGTCAGTAGACATAAAGAAATTGAATACAGTGGGAAAGGTTACTTGAGTGTGTTTGGCAATTCAAGAAGAGATACAGTCAAAAATGAATGGATACTGAACAAATGTGAAAAGGTGGGACTGGTATGAAAGAATTATGTTGAGTGGCTTGATCATATAGAGAATGATGATTGAGCTACAAATATATGAAGAGTGAATGAACTGAGAAGACGACATTAGATGGAGCTAATGAACTCATCATAGAGAGGTGAGAAGAACAAAAAGGTTATATAATGTATGGACAGAGTAGACACAGTAGACAAAGTAGAAGCAAGGATGATTTCCAAGGATAGAAAGATATGAAAAGGCACAGTGAATGGAGTTGTTATAAACTAAGTTGATTTCCTTTTCTTTGTTCTTATTGCTTGCCTTCCATTTCTATTACTTTCTATTTCTTACTTTTTCTTCTGCACTTTGTATGACATGGCTTAACCTGAACAGGAGGACACTGAAGGGTATACACATACGTGGAATAAAATCAAAGTTAATTTAGCGTGTAAAAATACACAGAATATTTTCAAATAGTTCTACAGAGGGTTTTTATGTTTTATGTTTTGAAAGATGAAGCTGATGATTTCATACCGCTAATAAATGTTTAGAAAAATAATCCAGAGTTGCACATAACTCTGTCGTAACTTTTAATCAAGGTCAGTTTCGCTATGAATCGTAAAATGGAACTTTAAAAAATGTTCCATATTGTTACTGTAAACTTAAAGAAAAAAATGTAGGTGGGATCATCTTTCTGAAGATATCCTTTAATCTTACGTAAAGCCCCATATTAGTAGAAATCCCCTTTCCCCCTGTTGGCAGAGTCCTTATCTTGTACCGTGCTTCGTTCTCTGGAGCACCTGGTTATTATGACTCCACATGAAGTGTTCTGATGCATGTTCTTCTCCACATTTTCATCTCTACTTATCTGATTTCCAGTCTGCCCCAGATGGAACCAATTTCTGGCAACCTAGATCATGATTCTTGTACCTTGGTGACCACCACAAGATGAGAAAATCTACGTGTGCCTCGGTGATAAACAAAACAGTAGTGATATGGCATAATACAAAATAAAAATAGTTTCGCTTGTGTGAGATATATTTGTATCAACAGCCAAAAGAATTATGAATATGGTGGGCATTACAAATACAGTACGCAGGTCACATCTGATGGAATAAATGATTCACATGATCTTGGTTTTGAACGTTTGTTTTCCGCATAAAAAAGCACACTCGATATCTATTATACTGTTCATTGGATATCGGAAAAACATTAACTGAAATACCAAATTGCAGATTACATCCATTTCTGACATCAATACTATATTATTATTGCCAAGTAATTTGGTTAGGTGCCAGATTAATTTATTTTAATGTCACTTTTTAATATCTGATGAAATTTTCAAGTAAAGGAATTGGGTAAATCATATACTACATTGATATTTTCAGAGCTATTAGAATTTCTAAACTTCTGAAGTGTCAAGATTCATGAATGAGTTACTAAGTATCAGTTATCTGGCGCTATAACATTCTTTTTGACATGTCAGTGGAAGAGCTGTCATGAGGCAGCCTCTTTGGCATAGGGGTCTGTTATGCTGGTAACCAAATTCAGGGACATAAGAACATATTTGAAAAGCAGCAAAAATTTAAATGTCACTCTTTGATGTTTGTCATTACATACTAATTTTGGTAAGTCTACAGTAGAAAGATCAACAGGTATTTGCAGAAATGAAGATCTTGTATAGCAAACATGTATTCAATTCTATAAAATCTAACATTAAAATATCAGAAATATGAACAAGATTCCTATAAACATGTTTAACTTTTTATCCAAGTTGAAAGACAACAGATACAAAAATGCTACAAATTCAAATGCTGTAACAACATTATGTACAATTTCCATAAGGAATGGCATGGAAGCTAAGACCCAGAAGGTGGCTTAAATCAAACTGAGAGAATTAAGCAAAGTTTGGCATCAAATACATTAATGAAAAGTAGATATGAGTGGGATTCTTAAAGAAAATCTTACCAAATCATTGGAGGATATTATGCATTATAGTGACGACAGTCCTTTTTCATTGTTACAGCAAGTCAAGGAAAGCCCATCTCCAGCTGAAGGGCCATAGAAAGACAATGCAATGGCAATCCTTCGTAACGCAAGTTTGCTGCTCAGTTATCGGTCAATAGGGTGAAAGAACACAATGAAAAGATAGTCAAGGGATATATGCTAAGTTCAGTTTTCCAATCATTCTCTCGGCCAAGGTTGTTTCCCACTGTCTAGGCAGAAAACGGTTTAGCTCTGTTTTTTGGTGTTGAAAATTATTTTCAGCAATTTTCCTCTAGCAGTTTGAGTTGGGCTTGGGAGGCAATTTGCAGGGAAAAAAGTGAAGGGTCAAGCATACCCCCTCTGCCATTATGTTTAATAACAGCCTCTCCTGTCATTTTAAAAAAAACAAAAACTAAGCAGTTGAGAGACCTTTCTCTGTAACATCTGGTACACTTTGACCATTAAGCAGGTGAACAGATGCTTGAATGACCAAAATGTCTCTATGTATACTTTCATTGAAACTTGACTCCACAATTGTCAGAGGTTTGTTTTCATTTTTGAGAACAAATAAAGCTGAAATAGGTCCTTGAGGACTATTCAGACATATATGGCAAAACTTGGAAAATCTTTTATAGCTGAGGGTAGAGGAAACACAACTCTCATTTCAGGTTGCCATATGGATGGCAAGAGAAGTCCAGCTGCTTTATTATCAGCATTTCAGAAATATGAGAGATGCTGCAGGTCTTAATCTGATATCCTTTAACTACACAGCAGCTGACAAGATCTTAAATGAAGGAGTGCTATGCTACAGATGCATCAGGAGAAAAACTGATTGGTTTTTATAATCAACATTGATTAAACTGATAAAACTGATTGGTTTTATAATCAACATAAGGAAATGTTGGGCTTCTAATATATCCTAAAAGCCAGTTTGGGGTACAGATAGCCTTCAGTTAATGACTCCTCATTCAGCGACTGTTCAAACAACTGTGACAATGCTGAATGAGTGATACTTTTGACCGGTCCTCAAAGTTCTGACCATCACAGTGTCCTGTAGTCATGTGATTGTGATTTGTGACCTTCCCTGCTGGCTTCCCACAAGTGAAGTCAATGGGAAAGCTGACAGAAAATCGGAATTCGTTATCATGTTAGGTCCTCACTTAATGATGGCAACTGGGGACTGCCAGAACTGCCATCGCTAAGTAGTGCGGTCACATAACGTTGTGCTTTACAACTGTGTCATTTAGCAATGAAAATTCCTGTTCCAAATACTGTTGTTCAGTGAGGACTACCAGTAGTGGTTAAGGTATCAGGCTAGAAAGCAGGAGACTGTGAGTTCTACTCCCACCTTAGGCATGAAAGCCAACTGGGTGACTTTGGGTCAATCACTCACTCTCAGCTCTAGGAAGGAGGCAATAGCAAATTACTTCCAAAAATGTTGCCAAGACAACTGCAGGGACTTGTCCAGGCATTCACCAGGAGTCAACGCAGACTCAAAGGCACACACACACACACACACACACACACACACAAATCCCATCCACCTAATGTTCCTTAAATTCACCTCATTTATCCTTTCTCAAAGAATTAGACTTCTGACTTTGATGCTTATAGCAACAGAGCAGAAAAAGTACTGGATTAGTGATTATCTAAACTTTTCATGGCCAGATATAGTTAAATACAAATTTGCTCTAAGCGCCAAATATGGTCCAATGTATGTATATTATGGTATAACTTTGTTCTCAGAGCAGTTTTGCTGTCACTATCCCCTTCAAATTCAGGGAAATAATAGGCCTATTTTCTTAGGCCTAACAAACTTTCCAGCATGCACGAACCATTAATTCACCACAATGGTAGCAACTGTTCTATCATTCTAACGTTTTTTGGAATTAAATTCTGCAATTGAGTTTTTAATATTAAAAAAAAAAAAATCCCCTCCCAACCTAGAATCCTTTTCTACACTTTATAAAACAAGTTGAACTATTTGTAATTTGCAAGTCATTTTTAAAGGTAGAGAGCCATTAATATAGATTGGTCTTCTTCATGATTCTTAAGAATTCTTCCTCATTTATTTCTCCATCTCCATCACGATCAGCTTCGTCTATCATTTCCTAAGGAAACAAGGGGAGGAGAGAACCACTGAAGATTAGGCACTGTTCTAGAAGCATCTGAAGCATTAAAAATAATAAAATTGTCTTAACAAAAAATTATGAATTGTATATTAGCTGCTTATTCAGAACCTAAGGTGAAATATACTGAAAAAAATAAGTAAAACAGATTCAGTAGCTTTAACAACACAGAAAAACAACATCCAGAAAGACCAATCAATAAAGTAAATCAAAGGTCAAAGCGAAATTATGCATTTATTAGAAACCTATAAAGAGGAGGAATTACGATTCTTAGGTGGAGTGATATAAAAACCCAGTATGCTATGCAAAACTGAACAGTTACCTGCAGTTCTTCATCTGTTAAATTTTCTCCAAGTTCCTTGGAAACTCGCTTTAGGTTTTTAAAGGAAATCTTGCCTGTGCCATCATCATCAAACAGTCGGAAGGCTTTCAGAATTTCTTCTTTACAATCTTTTTCATTCTTACAAAAACAAAAGTATGAAAGTAAAAGAAAACAAAAACACCCCCAAGCATCCTACAACTCTCTATATTAGAGCAAACTCATATGTTACCATTTTTGTGGTCATCATTGCTAAAAAGTCTTCAAATTCTATAGTGTTGCTTCCATCTTTTCCAATGTCTGCTATCATCTTTCTAATTTCTTCTTTCTTTGGCTCAAACCCAAGAGCACGCATTGCAACCTGCAATATAAAAGCTGGTAACTTGTATATCCAATACATACTTGAAACTACCTACGAATGTGTGTGCCTAAAAGGGATAGTCCTGATTAAAGAAATGTTAGTCACATGTATATGTTTCTGTTCATTAAACGATAGCTTAAAGATGCCTGCTGATAAAAGTAGTGGCTTGGAGCCTTGTGCAGGAGGGATTCCTTATTTTCTCATACATAAAGGATGCTTTTTCCAAACACATGCTTGCCACGTGCTGTTTTATAAAGAGTTCTATGCTCCAACATGTATCACCAGGCATTAATAGTAAAAACTATTCATCTCTGAACCACCATTACCTATTCCTCTAGACACTCCTGAACTTATTTGTATCTGGTGGAGCTCAAGGTTCAAACAAGAATCACGAGTTGAGTCAGCAAGCACAAAATGTACATTATCCTCTTGAAAATATACCAGCCCAGAAAAATGAGCCAGAAAAAAAGGATGATACTTGGATAACAAGACTAGTACAGTAATACTATTTAGCTATATAAGAAATTTTGCAGGGCCAAGCTAAAAGCCCCTAACCAAAATACATCTTCCCAGGAAAAACAAAGTACAGGCTTAGCTATATAGTATCATACTGCATAACTACCCCATTACAAAAATACTTTCTCAGGGAAATCCAAATTGTCAGCTCAGCCATAAAACATCTAGAAGGCCAAGGAATGCTGATGAGCTGGGGAAAGATGCTGGGAGGTGAACAGAGCTCTGGGAAAGCACAAGAAAATAACTTCCTAGAAAGAAATTATGTTCACAAAATACTGCCTCTTTGTTTTTTCAACCCCCCCTTATCTTTGTAGTCCTGCCTCATTACCTCATAATTACAATCTAATGGCCTCACTAGGCACATGATATATTATATCCAATTAAATATCTGGCTGTTATATCCCATCACACATATATTCTAATCTGCATACACCTATAAAGAGGGATTGCAACTCTATCCCTCTTTAGGCTTATCTTTGCCTCCAGTGCTGACGATAAACCAATTTGTGCTCCAATGTAATGTGTTCTGGTTTCCAGTTTAAATCAACCCCCTTGAGGGATATGTTTCCTACTACAGCTATCAAAGGATAGGAATCAAAGCTATGCAGAACCATTTTCTGCTTTTTGGGGAAACTACATAAAACAAGGCCAACAACTTTTAGTCTCATGGAGTAACCCTGCAATGAGGTGGTCAATAGATCTGAACAGCTTTTTCAACATATTTATGATACTAAATGGAATGTGTAGCTGAGTTCTACTTCTCAATTATTTGCATTCCAATTAAACCATCTTAGAAATAACATTGATATATTATGATTTTGTAAATAGCTATTTTGCAATGCTGCACATGTACTGAATTTACTTTTACTGGAATGGCCCTTTCTGCAAGAACAAGTAGCTCTAACATGAGACTGAAAACATTGCCATCAATTTTCTAAGGCCATAACGTATTGCATAAATCCACCAACTGTGATTGGCAAATCATGGCTAATTGTTTAGTGCATTGAATGAATCCAGATAACTGTAGCTTACTCAACAAACCATGTGTAATATATGTGTAATGTGTAATACTGAGCTGGTGATTCCCAAGGAAGTAGACAGGGTTCTCTGTGCTGTCAGCTCACCCACCTGTTTCCTGGATCTGGGCCTCTCCTGGATCATAAAAGCAGCCAGGGAGGTGCCCTGAGGTTGAGTCCAGGCCATGGTGTCAGCCTCTCTGAAGGTGGGGTAGTACCTCCTGCCTTCAAAGAGGTGATGGTGTGCCCCCTCCTCAAGAGGCCATCTTTGGACCCAATGGTTTCTGACAACTACTGATCAATCTCCAGACTTCCCTTTTGGGGGAAGGTTGTTGAGAAGGTAATTAGTCTGCTGCTCATTAGAACCCTGGAGGAAACAGATTATCTAGGCCAGTTTCAGGCTGGAATTTAGTACTGAGAGAGCCTTGGTCATGCTTATTGATGACCTTTAGCGGAGTCAGGATGGTAATAGTGCATCCATCCTTATGTTCCTTGATCTCTTAGCTTTCAGTTCTATCAACCATGGTATCCCTCTGAGCCGGCCTGTGTGTTGGGGTTTGGGGCACCATTTTTTGGCAGTTCTCTTCCTTTCTCCAGGGCCTGTTCCAGTCAATGTTGGTTGGTGGGGAGAGATCGTCCCCTAGGCCCCTCTTCTGTGGGGCGCCGCACAGTTCTACTCTTCCCCCCCCTCCTTTTCAGCATCTACATGAAACTGCTGGGTGAGGTCATCTACCGGTTTGGGGTTTGGTATCATCAGTATTTTACTGATGTATTTCCCATACTTTGCAGTATTTTCTTATTACAGTTAACACCAAGTTCACTTAAGCAGTGAAAAAGCAAAGTGAAATAAGGCCACCTATATGGTGGGCTTCAGTGGGCACTGAGAAACATACAGCAAAGTTGGATTTTGCAAGCGAGTTCTGATGTAGCCCATAATGGATCAATTTGGGTAATTTCTTAATAAGAAAACACTGGAGGATAAAAAACAACAAACCAGACTAAACTGCTAAAAAAAAAGACAAAGAAAATGAATACATACCTTTAGTTCTTTGATATCAATGCTGCCAGACCCCTCAGTATCGAACAAATCAAAAGCTTCTCTGATCTCCTGCTTCTGATCTTCAGAAAGCTCATGTTTCAACCCACTAGGTCTCCTTCGGTGGGAGCTACCCAAGCTTGGTCTTTTGTATCCAGATGCCTTCAGTAAATGCAAGTAAAAATAGTATTACACTGAATTTATATCCCACTTTGCTTTGAAGAACTTAATATGGTATGTGTGTGTGTGTGTGTTTGTGTATAAGTATATGTGTGTGTATATATATATACATATATATATATTTCAGCACTATGTGGTATTTATATTGCTGTTCACTTGTACTGCACTTAGATATAAGCAGATGCCAAGGAAAAATGTTATTAGTAGATCAAAAACATAGAACTGATTTCCTTCCTTAAAGCCAGATTTCAGTTACACCTGCTTTACCTGTATTCAGGTAGGTATAATTTGGATGCCTCCCCTCTCAAGGGAAACAATTAGAAACACTTGATGGATGGGAACAAACTGCAAAAAACGTGCACATCTTTAGCAAAAGTGGGGAAGCTAGGTTCATACATGGTACTAAGCCATGCTTAGCTTTCATTCACTGAGTTGCAGAAATGCAGCCGCTGTTTTATACATCATGACTTTCAGCCTCTGTAGCTTCCTCAGCAAGCCATGGCTGAAAATCACGCATGCGGTGCCTTTTTGCTACAAGGACGCGCGTGTTTTCAGCAGCAAATTACAGCTGCAAACACGGAAACAAATACAGCGTATCACTACAAGAATAAAAGTTATTTAAATGGCTCCACAGTTTCGTCCAGAACCATTTCTCGATTTACGGTAGTCAGGACTCGGCTATTCACCGGCCCAAAAGGCACCATTCTCTGCGCCCTTTTTCTCACCCGAGCGGAAATTCAGAGGATGAGTTTCAAGATTTGCTTTTGTTTATCTGATCAGCTTCGATCTTGCACAGGTTCTAAAAATATCCGCGAGTAAAATGGGGAAAAGATTTACTACAGCCCATCATGCTGGATTTGGCGTGAAAAGTAATCCTAAAGCCACTGGTTCAGGATGAATTGCAATTGTAATCACTAGAGATCTATTGGACGCAGTAACTTGGTTCAGTTAACTAGATCCAGAGAAAGGCGGGTTCGTGAGAAAGGCTACAAGAAGATTAGCAGATACTATTTCCTTTACCAAAGAGCTGGGGAAAGAAATACTCACCATTATCTTAACGAACCTGGGTTTATTTGTTCAAGAAGCCACACAACCCAAACCACCTGCAATAATTGATAATGTTCCGCCCCTACGTGCCCAGGTTGTCCAATGACAGAGAGGATTCCCGCGAAAACTCGCGTCTGTTCGTTACCGCGGCCAATCAAGAAACGCGAGTGACGGCCGGGCTTTGTGACGTCATTTAGAACTCCATGTTGCCGTTTCTGCTGGATACACAACAAACGAGCGCCGGCGTCCTAGTAACCAGACGCGCTCTCGAGGGCGCTGGGGTGCTGAGCGTTGGCTTCTCTGGCTGAAAAATTATTCTGCAACAAACCAAAGAAATACATGGTGGCGGGGTGGGTTTAATCTGTGCTGAGAATATTGCGGCAGGAATAATGCGTGTGGCTTTGACCACGTCACGGGATGCTTTTCATTAGCGAAATAAGGTAGCCAGGTGGGTCCAGCAGGAAGATGAGCCAAAGCCGCAAATGTAACAAAGCAGTTTGTGACAGGGTTCTTAGTGTCTAACTCAGTGTTTCTCAACCGTGGCAACTTTAAGATGCGTGGACTTCAACTCCCAGAATTCCCCAAGGCTGGCTGGGGATTCTGGGAGTTGGTCTACACATATTAAAATTGCCAAGGTTGAGAAACACTGATCTATTTACTAGCCACAGAACTAGACAGTGAAAATAAAACTATCAGGATCAGAGCAATAGTATTAGCAACTATTGCGAATTCACGGGGCTTATTTCTAAAAGTTCTTAGGCTCAAGCCTCTCATAAAACCGCTCCAGAATCATTGTCTAGTTCTGTAACTTTTTTTTTTTAAAGCTTCTTGTTGCCCTTTGCACTTTCGTATAAGGATCGTACTAAATCCAAACACCATCGGAAGTAATGGAAAGCCCAAGGAAATATCTGAACGGACAGAAGAAATAGGTTTGGGACACAATTATTGACATGATTGAGCTCCTGGATGAAATAAGCGATAAATGAAGCAAAGAGCATATTTTAAGAGGGAGTCGAATGGTCACAGGATAGAAGTGATTCATGAGCTTCCTCCTGTCGATTATTGCTGTTTCACATCATTTATGATTTTCAATGAGCTTTAATAACTGACCTGAACATATCAATATTTTTCTCAAACAAATATTAAAACCACACAACAAAACATTAAAGCTAACATTTAAAATGTAGTAGAAAAAAACAATATAATCTTTTTCTGAGTTCGTGATCAAAATATGTTTAAATCATATTGCAGGAAACTTCAAAACTAATTTTCAGAACAACAGAAAAAATCCTTTCTGTTCCTCAAAATCCATTTCCCGCTTTTATTTTGTTCTTTGCAGCTTACTTAAACTGCAGTCGAACTGAATTAATATTTATTCTCCTGTTCGAAAAGCTTCCCATGGTCTCAGCGGACTTCTTTCTATTTCGTTGACTACTTCCTCTCACCTCTAAATCTTTTCGCTCAAGTAAGGGCAGAGTACGGGCAAAGGCTTCAGAGCTACTCGGGCATGCTCAGCAGAAGACAACTCCGTCCGGGGCAAGCAGTGCAGAGGCGGCGATTGCTCGGGCGGGACGGAAGTGACGGCGCGCCTCCTTCCCAAAGAGAGGCAAGGTTAGCGCCCGTATGGAAGGAGGGCTAGCGGTTTCTCAGGCTCAAGCCGCGGATCCTGCCTCTCAGAAGGGAACTAAAGCTGAGCAGGTAATTGCTTTAAGGCCGATTCAGCTCGTAGGAGATCTCCGGCGAACTCCTTTGGAGGACCCCCATCCTAATTCTGCCAACCCGCCCCACCTTCCTGGGCGAAGGGGGCCGGGGGGCTGCACGGGCGGAGCTGCTTATCCTCTCCCTCTGGGGGGCGCGGGGGGACCTGCCGGGATCCCTTTCTCTGCTCCCCGAGAGGCTGGGCTGGGGGATGAGAAAGTGAGCTCCCTGTTACCCTGAATCTGGGGCGACAGAGGACAAGGATTGGGAGCGGGCCTGGATGCGGTCCAGATCCTTCACTTGGCCGCCCCGAGGAAGATGGTCGGCAAGGCGGAGGAGACAGGACAGAATAGCCGCTGCCCGGGGATTTCTCGGCTGGCGTGCGGGGGGATGGGGCGGCAAGCCAAGAAGC